AAAACCTTTAAACACCTAAGGGCAAAACAATGTTGTTGCCCTTCCTGGAGGCCCTCTTGGAGGCCTCTTGGGCCGTATTGGGCCAGCTTCGAGCCAACTTCGGCCATCTTGGTAGGCTCCTGGCCCGTCTGACGCCGTCGGAAGCCGTTTGGGGGGCCTCTCTGGCCCGACTTGGGGCCCTCTTGGGGTGTTTCAGGGCCGTCTTAGAGACCATCTTGGGCGTCTTGGAAGCTTCTTGGGTCGTCTTTGTGCCCTCTTGGGACCGTCTTGGGGGCCTCTTGGGCAGTCCTGAGGCCGTCTTGGAGGCCTCTTGGGAGCTGTGGGGGCGATCTTGGGGGCCTCTTGGGCCGTCTTGGGTCGTCGGAAAGCCGAAAAGGAGCAATACCAACATCCTTCCAAAACCTAATGAATTGGCCTCTTCGGGCCCTCCTGGAGGACCTCTTGGAGGCCTCCTGGGCCGTCTTGGAGGCCTCTTGGGTACGTCTTGGGCCGTCTTGGGCCGTCTTGGAGGTTTCTTGGGCGGACTTGGAGGCACATTCTCCTCTCTTGGGCGGATTTGGAGGCCATCTTGGAGGCCATCTTGGGCCATCTTGGCCGTCTTGGAGGCCATCTTGGCCGTCTTGGAGGCCTCTTGGGGCCCTCTTGGCGCCGTCTTGGGGGCCTCTTGGGCCGTCAAGGGGCCATCTTGGAGATCTCGTGGGCGATCTTGGGGCGATCTTGGGGGCCTCTTGGGCCGTCTTGAGCCGTCGGAATGCCGAGAAGAAGCAAATCCAAAAATCATTCACACACGGAAAGAAAATCAATGATTTGGGCCTCTTCGGGCCTTCCTGGAGGACCTCTTGGAGGCCTTTGGGGCCGTATTGAAGGCCTCTTGGGCCGTCTTGGGCCATGTTGAGGCCATCCTGAGGCTAGCTGAGGCCGTCTTGGATACATTTTGGGCCGTCTTGGAGGCATCTTGGGGCCATCTTAGCAGTCTTGGAGGCCATCTTGGGCCGTCTTGGAGACGTCTTGGAGACCATCCTGGGCCATCTTGGCCGTCTTGGACGCCATCTTGGGCCAACTGGAGGAAACAGAGGCACGACGGACGCGTTTTGAGATCCTTTCCGGGTGGCCGGCGGGACGGGCCGAAGCCCCAGGGGGAGTTCTTTTTTGGACAAATACTCAAAACCAACACCGATAGGGTTCGGCACGCCAGGCACCCTTGCGATGAATCGACAGGGTGCGGCGGATAACGGAAAGAGCGAGGTACGAGTGATGACGTTCTGGTGTGGGCGAAGCCCTAAAGGGAAGGGTTCCAGGGGAGGGAGGAGAGGAGGAGGAGGAGGAGGAGCAGGAACAAGAGGATGAGGAGGAGGAGGAGGAGGAGTAGGAGGAGGAGGGGGAGGAGGAAAAGGAGAAGGAGGAGGGGAGGCGAGAACGAGAAAAAGAGGGGGTGGGGGACGGGAAGGTTGGACGATGAGGGGCAATCAGTCGGAAGAGAGATGCGAAAGAGGAGGAATGAGGAAAGAGGAGGAAGGAGAAAAGAGGAGGATGAGGAGGACGAGGAGGAAGGGGGGGTGAGGAGGAGGGAGGAGGAGGGATTGGAGGCAACCTCCAGTTGACATCCCGCCCCCTGCCCCCTCCCCGCCTCCCGCCCCGCCCCCCCTCCTTGATCCTGACCCCCACGACAATTCACAATATGAATACTACTCTCCTACCTAACAGCGAAGACTGATAGGCTTCTAATAAGGTCAAAAGAGCATCATGACTCCCAAGGGGGGTCTGGGCGGCATCCGGGGAGCTGGGTCCGAACTTGTTTTTCGCAAACGGTCACACACTTCGTGCTCTTCGACCTCCCAGAACTCCATTCCCGGGCCACATTCTGAATGCCCGGAGCCAACTGTAGGCCACTTCGTGCTCTTCGTCTTCCCAGAACTCCATTCCCGGGCCACATTTTGGATGCCCGGAGCCAACTGTAGGCCACTTCGTGCTCTTCGATTTCCCAGAACTCCATTCCCGGGCCACATTTTGGATGCCCGGAGCCAACTGTAGGCCACTTCGTGCTCTTCCATTTCCCAGAACTCCATTCCCGGGCACATTTTGGATGCCCGGAGCCAACTGTAGGCCACTTCGTGTCTTCGCTACCAGAACACATTCCCAGGCCACATTTTTGATGCCCGGAGCCACTGAAGGCCACTTCGTGCTTTCAGTTCCCAGACTCCATTCCGGCATGATTTTGAATGTCCGGGGCCAGCTGCAGGCCACTTCCCGTTCTCAGAGTGTAGGCCAGAATTGCTCCCTTCACTTCCCAGATGCTGAGGCAGATGCTCTGCTGAGGCTGGTGCAGGCTGAGGCTGCAGGCTGAGGCTGAGGCCGAGGCTGAAGGCAGACTGAGCTGAGGCTGAAGCAGGCTGAGGCTGCAGGCTGAGGCTGAGGCTGAGGCAGGCTGATGCTGAGGCAGGCTGAGGCTGAGGCTGAGGCTGATGCAGGCTGAGGCTGAGGCAGGCTGAGGCTGAGGCCGAGGCTGAAGGCAGACTGAGGCTGAGGCTGAAGCAGGCTGAGGCTGAGAGGCTGAGGCTGAGGCTGAGGCTGAGGCAGGCTGGCTGAGGCAGGCTGAGGCTGAGGCTGAGGCTGATGCAGGCTGAGGCTGAGGCAGGCTGAGGCTGAGGCCGAGGCTGAGGCAGGCTGAGAGGCTGAGGCTGAGGCTGAGGCCGAGGCTCTGAGGCTGAGGCTGAGGCTGAGGCAGGCTGAGGCTGAGGCTGAGGCGAGGCAGGCTGATGCTGAGGCAGGCTGAGGCTGAGGCTGAGGCTGATGCAGGCTGAGGCTGAGGAGGCAGGCTGAGGCCGAGGCTGAAGGCAGACTGAGGCTGAGGCTGAAGCCGGCTGAGGCTGAGGCTGAGGCAGGCTGAGGCTGAGGCTGAGGCAGACTTAGGCTGAGGCTGTGACTGCGACTGCCGTTGCCGCTGCGACTGTCATCGCGCATGCGACTACGACTGCGAGAACAGCAGAATTCTGCAACTGGGTTATCATTTGAATCTTAAGGGGAATGCTTCCAAATATGCTCCTACACATCGCTGTTAGGTTGCTTTGCCGGGATAATTTGTTACGTATTGTTTTTACGTATTGTTGTGCGTGTTGTTTCTACGCATTGTTTTTACGTATTGTTTTTTACGTATTGTTTACGCGCATTTTTTTGCGTTTTGTTTTTGCGCATTGTTTTTTACACGTTATTTTTTCTCACGTTTCGTATTGTGTTTACGTATTGTTTTTACGTATCGTTTCTTCTCACGGTTAGATTAAACCCTCGTACAAACACAATACGCGGGAGGATTTTTCGGATGAAGCGGAAGCCCAAAAATGATACCACCGTTGCAGCGGGAGCAACATTTTGGAAGAACCGAACACGGTCGGATTGAAAAAAACACATATGAAAACAAGTCCGGATAATTCGTCCGATTTCGGCTGAACCCTGTCCTTGGCGCGCCCCGCGCGCCAGGGTCGGGGTTCAGCTAAAATCCAGGAAATATGCCTCTGCCGAGGCCGATCGCCCTGCTGAGGGCGGCCGCGGCGAGGAGGCGGAGGGGGTTGGAGCTCTCGCCGCGGCTCTCCTGGGCCGCCTGCAGCAGCAGGCCAGGCCGTCCGTGGCGCCCCTGACGACGCCGGTCCAGAGGCTCGCCAGCGGGCCCTGGGGGGTGCATTCGAGGCTCGACTTCAAGGTTTCAGGTTTTTCGTCCGCTTCGGCCCCCGAGTGCGTTGTTTCGGCCCCGGGGCCATCGGGAACGGATTTGGGGCGAGGAGCTGCGTCGGATGGATCTCCTGAAGGGGCACACGAATTGATTCTGAGTCTAGGTGCGCGACGCCTCAAGGGCAGTGCAGGGAGGAAGTGATACGGGGCAGGCTTTCCGAGGAGGCCGGGAGACTTCTGTGAAGCCCTCCCGCCTTCTCAGGAGTTTCCTAAGTTTAATTCCCAACCCTCCTGCGTTGGGTTCTCGTTTTGAATACAGCACTGCTCGCGCGTCTCCTTCCTTACTTCCTTCCTTCCCGCCCCTCTCTTCCCCCCTGCCTTTTGCCTCGCTCGTCGCTGCATGCCAGCTGGGGGGCTGCGATATGCGAAACTGTCGCCACTTTCGAGGGCTGCTGGGGGGCCCAGCACAGAGGGTACACACTGCGGACTCAAACTGGACTTCGCCATCCCTGGGGGCTGTGATCTGTAAAACTGTCGCCACTTTCGAGGCTTGCTGGGGGGCCCAGCACAGTGGGTACACACGGCGGACTCAAATTGGACCTCGCCATCCCTGGGGGGCTGCGATCTGCGAAACTGTCGCCACTTTCGAGGGCTGCTGGGGGGCCCACCACAGGTGGGTACACACGGCGGATTCAAATTTGATCTCGCCATCCCTGGGGGGCTGCGATCTGCGAAACTGTCGCCACTTTCGAGGGCTGCTGGGGGGCCCCAGCACAGTGGGCACCCACGGCGGATTCAAATGGGACCTCGCCATCCCTGGGGGG